ACCACCACCACCCCCCTCCACCCTCCCCCACGCCCCCCTCAACTCCCCCACCACCCTCCCCAACCGCCACCCCGTCTCCCTCCCAATCCTATCCAACACCGCCAACACCTCATCCTGCTCGCGGGGCTCCACCAGCGCCGCACTAACGACCGCGAGACTCCGGATCGCGACAGAGACGACCCCCCGGTCGCGCGTGTGCGCGACAATGCCACAGACGTGGTGCGCGTGGAGCAATTGGGAGTCGCGGTTGGCGCGGCCGTCGCGCGGTTCGAGCGGGTTGAGCTGGGCGAGGAGGCACATGGCGGTGTGGTAGAAGAGGCGGGCGAGTTTGGAGGAGGGTTTTATGAGCCTGTTGGTTTGGAAGGGGTGGTGGTGGTTAGTGGTGGTGGTGGTGGTTTGGGCTTGGTTTGGTTTTAGGGGGGTGTGGATGGAGGGGGGGGTAAACGGAGGGACGAAAGTCAAAAAAGGGGCTACTCACCACACGTTGGGAAACAGAGACTTGGACGACGCCTCGGGGAGGTATCCGTACGGCCGCATCGGGCGCGGGCAGTTCAGATTCCAGGCATTGCACATATTCTGCAGCCGCCGCCACTCGGCGAAGCGGTTCTGCAGGCGCACCTGCTCGTCGTGGGGGGACGGCTCCTGGAACTGCGGCGTGTTGGCGCGGAAGTTGGCCACCTTGGCCATGATGTAAAATATGCGGTGCAGGTAGAGCTCCTCCTCGTCAGCCGTTTCAATATGATCGTTGGCCACCGGGACTCCTTCAGCTCGCCCGCCCCAGACGTCGTCGCTCCCGGCCACGCTGCGGCTGCCACTCCGGCTTGTGGACCCGAGGGTGGCAAACTCCAGGTCCAGCCCCCATTGATCGGGGTCCCAGGCCGTCTGCCAGCCGAACGAGATGCAGCTGAGCACCTCCATGCCGACGTTGACCCAGAAACAGGCCACGCCGAGGCCTGTCGAAGACGCATTCCAGCCGCAATCGCGGATGAGGGCGCGGGTCGAGGCGATATGGCCCATTCGATCGGTGGGCCGGTTGGTCATGACATTGTAGGCGGTGAGCACGACAGCGGTGAGGGCGCTCTCGCTGGGACTGCGGTCCCGTGCCTGCTCGCTGAACAGCTGGGTGGTCGCCAGGTTGTAGTAATAGTCTGCCTTCTCGCCGCTGTGCTGCCCGATGAGTGTCAGGTGCCTGGCGCCGCAAGCCAGCAAGGCGTTGAGCAGCATGGGTAGTTTGAGCGCTAGATATGGCACCGTGTTGGCAAAGTGCTTGTCTTTGCTCAGGGCATCCATCCAGATGGACACTTCGTCGATGAAGACCTGCATGAAATGGATCTCTTCTTCGGTGCTTAGGTAGTCCCGCTCGCCCGTCGTATTCTCGCTCGACGGCGTCATGAGTCCGGTCGGTGTGCCGAATTGCTGGTTAGCGTTCGTCTGGGGGGCAGGCCGGAATTCGTGTGGTGGTCCCGTGGTTAACCCGTCGCGATTCCTGATGTTGAGGGTGTGCGACTTTTGCGCCTTGCCTCCGTCAGGATCGTGCAGCGAAGGGAAAGTAAAGGCATCCTCGTTAAACCCTCCAAGGCTCATCTGTGATCTCGGTGTGGGCCGAGTGGGGAGTGACGAAGGCTCAAGACTTAGCCGGGCTGGCGGGCTGTTGTGGTGGCTCGGTGGTCCGCTGGGCGGAGGCTGCCCGACATGGTGGGGGTGATATTGGTCTCGGACAGTCGGTGCATCCCCGCTGCCGCCGATCCCAGATGATAAAAGGCTGGTGGTTTGAGCCTCTAATCGCTCCGCCTCCCGACGGCTTGCGTCCAGGTCTGACTCCGGCGGCGGGGAGACGACTTCAGGATACCGTCCGAGGCCCCCTCGATACTCGGAAGCAATCAACCGGGATTCGTCCAAAATTTGAACTAGTAGCCCAGAGTTAGTTCAGATAACACCAAACTAGAAAGATGTCTGTGACGAACCTGACCATTCGGCGGTCGGGGGTAGTAGACACGGCGGATCCTTGACCTGGATGTCGATAAAATTGAGCCGTATCCCACGCCTGCACTCGCGATTGCTCTTTCGGCAATTGTTGCACTCCGGAACGCCCTCGTCGCATTTCAGATGACGCTCCCGGCATGTCAGGCATCCCGTGCGCACCCGCTTAGCCTTGCCCACGGCAGGACTTGCCGAAGCGGCGACCGGCTTCCCTCCACCTCCCCGGCCGATGCTGCTAGTGTCGGCAACCCTCATGGGGGCAACCGGCGGCGGCGGCGTGGCTCGGTAGTCTGATTCCGAGAGCTGACTGCCGCCGGCGAAAAAGGCACCCGGTGTGCCGTGGCGTCCTCCTACTGGGGAAGGCTCATAGCGGGTGTCGGGGCTGTAGTTGTTACTGGGCGTCGTGTAGGGCTGGTCTCCCTCTCCTAGGCGTGGCATTGGAGGTTGCGTCCGGGCACGCAGGGTGTTCCGTGGCTGGCGTGACCGCGATCGAGGCCGGCGGGCGGAACTCATGATCAAATGTGGCGCGGGCTGTGCCTCCAGGGGTCGTTTCTCTTTTGTCAGGGCCCAACAGAGATAGCAAATGACGGACCTGTCAGAGGTCGGTGGTAGAAACAGAAACTCGACGGACCAAAGAGACCAGAGGGTCCGGACACTGAAGGGGCTGTTACTGATGGACAATCGACACGGGCGCACAGATTCAAGTCGGACGAGGCCATGGGTCCGAGGCCCTGGTGCTGCAACTCGACCGTGGGCCTCCCATCGAGTGGGTGGATGGATGGATGATGGATGGATGAATGTGGTCTGGACACAGACGGCAACTATTGTCGCAGTGTGGATAGAGTTGCTGCAAGCCAAGAGTGTTTCCGTTTCAACTCCCTTTTAAGCAATTGACGAAACAAGCGTCAGTTCCCGCACACCCCCGTTTCCCACGCCGAGTCGCGCGGTGTTTCTGCAGGCTCGACCGAAATCGTGGGGCTGCAGGCGGCTAAACCTGGCACGGGTCGAGCACGGTAATGCTGTGTTACGGGCTGGTCGAGGAAGGAGGCACGGGGGGCAACTAGGATGCAAGCGCAGGGTTGGGGGTGAAGCACTGAAGCACTGAAGCACTGAAGCACTCGAAGCAGCAGTGAGAGGGTCGGGTCCCGAGTTGCATTGAGACAGGGGGACCAGCTGCTCCTGGAAACTGAGTGTCACCGAGTGGAACACAACACGTAATGATGGAATCCGTCCCATGAAAAAAGAAAAAGGAAAAAGGAGGACTTCGCCCCGATAGCCCCAACCTGCGGTCAGAGGTACACGAAATGAATTATACGGACATACACTGGTACAAATGGAAACATGCATCAATTCCATGTGCCGCGGGACGAGCCGCGTGCGTCTGGCACGTTGCCGGTGGTGGAGGGACTGCCCTGGATTGCTGACTCAGCGGCGAAGGGAGGGCCCAGGGAACCCTCGCCCAAAGTTTTGCCGGACAAGCTAGAAGATCCACCCAATCCTCCAATGTCCACCGAACTGTTTCCAGACCTGGACACATCGGCTAATTACTTGGCCTACCGTGAATTCTAGTCCTGTACCTTGATGACAACCTTGCCGACATGGCTGCTCGAGTACAGATAGTCGAACGCGGCGGGCGACTCGTCAAAGGTGAAGACTCGGTCGATGAGCGGGGCGAGGGATACCTTCTTCTCTTCCAAGAACCGGTTTAGCTCCTCGAAATCCTCCTTGGAGCCCACGCCGATACCCCTAGATCACCTCCGGTCAGTAGAGCGTCTTTGACAATCACATACTTTGGGGGCGCGATGACAGGATGACCTACTTCAACTTTGCGGTCTTGGACATCAACGCCATGATAGCAGCCGGCGGCCAGTCACCGTTGACACCGGCGAGGAAACCAACAAGGGATACAGTGCCGCCCCGTTGCCGTAAGAAGCCGATATCTTCCGGAATGGACGCCGGCCCCGTGTTGTTGATCACATAGTCGACACCCTTGCCGTCCGTAAGGCGCTTGACTTCCGAGACTTGGTCGGAGACAGCCTTGTAATTGATACCGCGGACATCAGAGCCGAGCTTTTGCACATCTTCAAGCTTCTTGTCGGATGAAGATGTGATGATTGGCCGGATGCCCGCAGCAAGGCATATCAGCAGGGCAAACAAACTGACGCCTCCCGTGCCTGGCTCGATGGGTCAGTCACTATCCGTATCCGCCATCATTGCCTAGTAGCGAGATCAGAAAAGTGAGGCACGAACCTTGCAAGAGGGCACTTCTAGGGTTCGCCGCTTTCAGGCCGTCGAGCGCACTCCAAGCTGTGACGCCGGCGCACGCGATGGTAGACCCCTGGGATCGGATGACATGTTAACGATACGGACAGTGGCAATAGTAATAGGGCCTCCGGGTTAACAAGACTGACCTCTTCCCACGACAAATACTTGGGCAGCTTCACGATGTACTTGTCCTCGAAAATGGCGTACTCGGCAAGAACACCGTCAAGATCGCCGCCCAGTGCTTTCGTCGGGTCATCACCGTCCCCAGTTAGATTTTCGAGATCGAAAATGACGGAAACGGGGTCTCCGATGGCGAGATCCTTCACCGCGGTTCCCGTAGCGGCAACCTCAGCCGCTGCGTCGGAAGCCGGAATGCCACGCTCGATCACTTCCACCGGGTAGCGCCCGTTCAGCATGCCAACATCACGAAAGTTGAGAGAGACGGCATGGATCTTGAGGAGAACATCGTGCGGTCCAAGCTCTCGCGGCAGCTTCTCAGTCGAGGGGGCAATGGTTCTGGGCAGGTCGCCGGTGGTGCGCCTGAAGGCTTTTGTAAGTCTCGGGGAATAGGCATTGTAATGAAGCTGTGAAATTCTATGGTATGATGTTTTGTGCACTCTAACAGCAGAAT